CTCCTGGTCCATGTCCGTTGGATTATTACTATTCTTTTTTTGGCTTTCACTACTCCCGTCCTCCTTGTCGGGGTTGGGTGGGGGTGGTGGAGGGGGGGTTGTTTCCCTCCGATTTGCACTATCTCCTCCTTTCATTCCTCCAGTGTCACCCTTCCCTCCTCCCCCCACATCGTTATGTGTCTTTTGCTTCTCCCCTCCTCCGCCACCATTCTTACCTCTGTCTTCATCCTTCTCTCCTCGGCTCCCGTCGTTTTTTTCCTCCCCTCCGCTCCCTCCTCCTTTCTTACTGTTCCCATCCTTGTCGCTGTCGTCCCTATTCTCTCCCCGGTCCCCTTCAGTCTTGTCCTCCTCCTGCCTTTTACCCCTATCCCTTCCACCTCCTTTCTCCCCTCTCTCTTTCCCTGGGTTGGAGGTTAACACCATATTGGCATAGGATTTTCTCTTGCCTGCAGTGCAGTCAACATCCCCTTCATAGTGGAAATGTTTCCTGCATGCAGGGCACCACGGGGTATTTGCGCAGACCACATCAATCTCAACATAACCATATTCTCCCATATCCACGATCAAACATTTTTTATATCTCATTTGAGTTGCGGACTCCAAATCAAACCGAATATTGACCAAGTCCGAACTTAACTTATCTGCGAAGGCCAGGGATTCCTTGATTATTGCCCCGAATGCGTCCTGAATGGCTTTGGAAATATGGGGGAGCGCTCCTACTGGTACTAGCATACATCTAATCCAAAAAAAATTGAACCTGGTGACTTCCTTCCACTCCCATAATTCCTGTTCCGACATCCACGGTCGAAATGAAACCTTATAGTGCTTCGAGTCAAGCTCTCGTTCCATTTCAGCTACCCTCAACATCCATGTTGCTACTTCCTTCGTAGGTGCGATATAAGTTACAAGGTTTTTACCTTCGTTATGGAACAACCCACGTTTCGGAGGAGCGATGATGTCCCCAGCAGCCGCCCAACCGTTTTCGTAAATGCGGACCAGCCGTTTTTTAACCTCAATTGGCAGAGACGTCGAATCATCCCCAAAGAGAATGGTCACAGCATGTTCCCTAAGCTATTCGGCTTGGATTTCATAGACCTCTGGGTTGATCGTAACTCTGACATAGTCCTCACCTGTTTCAATCGTATTCGGTGTAAGATTTTTCGGGAATACACCATCAGTGTAGCATTTTGCTATCAATTCCTTCAGTCTCACCTTATCTGCTTCAGTCCAAGAACCATTTGCGTTGACTGACGCCATCAAGGCTATCCTTAAAGGACTAGTCTATAATTTATAGTGACTATACCTGACGAAGGACCGTTGTGCTTTGCCTCTTGTTGGATGCCCGATTACCCCTCCGGGTATTCCCGCGCCTGCCTTCCTCAGGATAGCTTGACGGCGTCGTACTGTTGCATATAGTCGAACAATCTTGCTCTTCATGCGGGAGCGCCCTCCTGGCCGCCGAGTTCCCTCGGTAGGAATTCACCTCCTAAGGCCTGGTGTGGAGTTACATCCTTCTTACCTCCCTTGGAACTACTGAGAAAGATAAGTCAAGTCAACTCGAGCCATGTCTCCGCAGCCTACCCGGAGTCCGGTATCTCTATTTCTCCGGTTAGTGGCTGACGTCTAGATAGCACTGTGTTTTGCCCAGCTCGCTGCTCTCGTCCCAAGCTCCTTTAGTCCTCTGCACTCCTCTTAGTACATGCTCAGCGTTCACCAATCGTCATGCAAGCACTTCGACCGGAAACATCGCCAAATTCGGAAAAGTTATGCTCTGTACGGTATCTTTCATACGCCGAATTCTGATCTGCTTAGTTCCTCGTCCTTCACCCGGGAGAGCGCTCTCCTGCCCACCGATCTTCCACGGTTGGAACTCACCACCTACGCTTGGTGAGGAGAAGCCCCGACTCCACCTCCCTCGGTCTTACCGAAGAAGACGAGCCAAACAACACGAACCGTGTCCCCGCCGTCTTTCTGGAGTCAGATACCGCTACCGTCCCCAATAGTGTCTAGCGCCAGAATAGCGCAGCGTTCGCGCGGACCGTCGCCCCCACACGGAACCATCGAATTCATTCTTCAGCTTTTTCCAAAGATCAACGTTTGCTACATGCACATAATTCCTTTTCGCTGGCAATTCGTGCACGTTAGACAGGCCAATGCCAGACTCGTTTGCTACGTGCACATCAGACAGGTAGTGCAAGTGGGACCTTGCCCCAGGACACGAATTCCAAATAAACCAGCGTTTGCTACCTGCACATAATTCCTTCTCGAGCCAGCAGAGTCGCCCTACCACCCGTGTGGCAGGGGTCAAAGACCCCGCACCGCAATACCCACCCCCCTCCTCGTGATTTAGAGCGAACCAGTTCGCAGCCCGTCAGGGTTGCGTTTTCCCCCGTGGAAGATATTTTTCGTCGTCGTTCGTTATACCGATCGTTCATTCCTGGTTGGTCGTTGGAAGGCTCCAAAAATGCAGGCAAAGGCAGGCAGGGCAATTTAGGGGCTACAGTCGCAGTTTCTTTGGAAATAGTGGACCCGTAGCTGCTCGTGGGACCGCGCAGGTTTGGCGCAGGCCGCGGTCCTTGAGCTGCGAGTTTCAAAAAGGAAAGGGCGCGGGGGCTGGGGCGGAAAGTCCGAAACGACGCCATGGGGGCCGCAGGTCCTTGAAATTCAAATATGAAAGGGCGTGGACCCAGGCCTACAGCCTCATGCCCAGCCCACCCACTTCGGCCCAATGGGCCTAGTCACTGTTCTGGATGATTTTGTCTGAATCTGGAAGCAGTTCTGAGCCAGATTCAGAAACAGAGATGTTCTCTCTCTCTCTCTCTCTCTCTCTCTCTCTCTC